TCCTGGCATATTAGCAACACATTTCCTAGTGGCTGACATCAAAATCCCATTTAAAAACTGACTTTTGTTGATGTCTTAATAGAAGGATTTTAAATCTTAGAGCACGAGCGCGTCTGTTAGAAATTAAAGGATATGCTAGAAGTTAGCTTCTCATGTCCAAATAAAGTGCTAACTAATGGTTCTTATCAGCCCCTTATAACTACTCAGTCTTTAAGATGCCGCTAGACTGTTGCTTAAAAGTTTTTTTCCCTGTTACGGACTCATTCTGCTATCCCTCTGAAGCTTATCTACTCACTTTTTTCTTCCTCCCCTTCAATTCCCCCCCCCTCCCTATTTTTCCTTGGATCTGGATTTCCAACACTCTGGTCATCTAAAGAAGTGGGTTGTACCCACCAAAGCTCATGATGCCATTTACATGTTTTCTTAGTCTTTAAAGTGCTACCAGACTGTTGTTTTTTAAGTATTTCCTGTTACAGACTAACTTGGCTATCCCTCTGAAGCAAATAAAAGTATTCAGTCTAACTCTCATTTGCCCTGATGTGACTGTAACTTCAGTGGAGTCACAGGCCCATACCCTTTTTAAGGGCTAGACTCTCATTTATCCTGATGTGAATCCATAGCAATTCCATTAGCACTATGCCTTTAGGATTTTCTGGAGGGGAAGGGATGTTTCTCCTCTCCTCCTACACACATATGCTCATAGGGTACCATGATGATAGCAGTATAAAATATACATTAGACTAGATTGTAGGGCACATTGAGAGGGAAGTAAATACTTCTCTTTAATATTGGTGACTGCTTTATCTGAAATTTATTTTTAAAGGGATGCTGTCAACACATTTTTATAAACAGATTTTCTTTAAAAAAAGTTTTAAAATAACTTAAGTTTATTTTAAAGAACCAGCTGTTATTCAATTTTTAAAAAAATATCCACTGTGAAAGTTTTTCTGATCCCTTGTTTGATGTTTATTTTTAGCAAGGAAGGAAACTGACTTAAGGTACTGATCCTGCAAATATATTTAGTTAGGCCAGTCCCTGCATGCCTGCAGAGAAAGTTGACTGCTTAGGTACTAATAACTGGCCCTTCAAGCGAACAGTGACTGTTTGACAGCACTCCATGTATTGTCAAAAATGTGAGCAAATCAGAAATGGGGTGGATTTAAAATGATTTTTGCTACCTTTTAAAATGATTTTTGCTACCTTTTTCAGTTAGAGCTATATTAGGTGTTGCTTGGATCTAGAGGTAGACAGCGTTCAGAGTGAAATGTGACTTTCAAGTTGATGATCCCTCTTTGAATTAAGAAAATAGGGTAATTTTATAATAAAAGAAGATTGGTCTTCTGCCAGCTATTCTCCCCCCCCCCCACCCCCTTTACTGGTTTCCAATAAATTAAGCTTGTTGGTGGCACTTAAAAATGTTTCTGGCATTCTCAGCTCTACAGCCTCAGAACTACATGTGTATTTGATGTCAAGTTGACACTTGTTTTCCTGGCCAAAGCAATTAGTTGGATGTCAGTGGCAGAACACTATTAAAAACAAAGTATTTTTTAGTTCTTATGGCAATGCAACTATCAAATGTGTCTTAGTGGGGGAGAATTTGAATCAACAGGAACAGAAATAACAAGGGATGAGGGATAAGCACAGCGTGTCCACTACAATAGAGGAACCTGTGTATAGTACTCCAGAGTGGCTTGCAAGCAATGGATGGCAAGGTGATGGTCTGCCTGCTTCCTATGCTCTCTGTTGCCTCCTTAAATTCCTTTCCCAGCCTGCTGTCTGTGAAACTAGAATGATTTAAAATACAGTAACCTAGTGTTAACAAGATTGTAGGCCATATGACTTGCTGTATATGAATCTTTTTTTGAGAACAGTAAATACTGTTTCTGAGGCTCCCTGGGTTAAAATTAGAGCTGTGTGCCTGGGCAGCCAGAAGAGAAAACTGAGTGATTTATCAAAACCATTTTAAATATTGCCTGCCCCTCTGTAAGGTGAAATACTGTCCCAGTGCAGCTAAGCTTCATGGACCCCTCTATATCACTTTTGCTCAGTTGTCTCCAACCTTTTTAAGCATGAGATCGTTATTTGAATTTAAGTGCAAGCCAAGATCTACCTCAGACCCAAATACTCTTGCCCCACCTCCTTTGTGCCCTTTGTCTGAGGCCCCGCCCTGCTCACTCGGTCCTCCCTCTCTTTCCCAGGCAGGGGCAGCTGGTTAGGGTGCAGGCTCTGGTCTTGGATTAAGGGATTTGGAGTGTGAGGGGGCTCAGAACTGAGCTTGGGGCAGGCAGTTGGGGTGTTGGAGGGGGTTCTAGGTGCAGGCTCTGGGAGGGGGTTTGGAGGCAGGGGTACTCAGGGCTAGGGCAGGGGCTTGGGATTCAGGAGGAGGTTCATGCTTGGGGTAGGGCTTCAGGATGTGGGCTCCGACTGGGCACTGCTTACCTCAGGCTGCTCCTGGTTGGTGGTGCGGTGGGACTAAGGCAGGCTCACCCCTGCCCTGACCCTGCACCACTCTCAAAAGCAACCAGCAAACTCCATCTCAAGTCCTGCTCTGAGGAGATAGGATACAGAGTGAGAGGGGGCACCTTGACATCAGCACCCCTCTTCTCCCTCCCCTGCCCAGGGGTGGGGGTAGGCAGCTCCAAGGCAAAGGGTGGGAGAGGTGCAGCAGTAGGGGGAGAGACAGGTGAAGTGCAGGCACTTGATAGCCTCTTGGCCAAATCAGTCAGGATCACCTCTCAGAGGCTCCAAGATCTACCAGTAGATCCTGATCTACTGGTTGGTGACCACTGCTTTAGCTCCTACTTTCTGACTTGGGAAATTACTTAAACTGTTGCTTCATTTTATGCATGTGAATAGACCCATTGAATTCTTTGGGGGCAAGTAACCTGCTTAAAGTTGAGCACATGCATAGGTAGTTTGGCTGAATGGGGGCCTTACGAGCCACTGAACTATGGCCCCTCATCTTGGGGGCAAATGTTCACCCTTCTGGGGTAAGCCATGATCTCGGTGTGTTATAGTTTAAGATGCATATATCTCAGTTATTGTACGGAACCTCTGAAGCGGTAGGAAGGAAGTTGAAGGTACAGTACAACATGCATTTATTAAATGTGCTTTAAAAAAATTATTTTCTCTAGCCCACAGACACTTCATTTTGGGGCTACATTTCTGAAAAGGTGTATTCATCTGGCCTGTGCAAAAATGGGAAGTGGATATCTATTTTGATGTGCAATTGTGTGTACTGTAAAGTTTTTGACAGGTGACATTTAAGAATAACCAACTCTTGTATGCTAATGTTCAGCTTCGTGGGTCTGTGAGTAAAATTTTAACTTTGTCGTCATTGGTTTTCCAGCTGGATACTTTGATTTATGGAGTTATGAAAAGCAAAAGCCGTGGTGTTCTGTTTTCTTTATACTGTTCTCTGAGGGTAAACAAGAAATTAAACTTGGAATGAGACTTGATGCAGTCTGCAGTTCAGCAAACTGTAAGGTTACCCTGTAGAACTCTCCACCTAATTCCATTTAGTGCTACAGTCAAGCTATGTGGGAACTAATAGTTTTTGTTTGAAGTCCCAATTGCTAGCACTTCTGCAACAGCACTTCAAAAAGAGAAGCTGAAGCTTTCCAGCCCAGGCCACCCCACCAGACAATCTGCTTGGCTGCTTAAGTGTAGACCTAGAAAGCTGAACTCAGAGCCATATTAAGGCTCTGGATTGAGTTTCTTGATTGAAAAGGAGAAATCTAGGGGGAGGATTGTGTGAAGAATGAGTGACAGTTTAAAACTGTTTTTTCCTCCCTCTCTATCTCTGTTCACTTAAGTCTAGCCCTCTGATGATGTGCTGAAGAGGCTGGGGGAAAGGGGGACTTGCAAGAGCCTCTTTCTATTAATTCACCTTCAAAAAGAAGGGAAAGTTGAGTAATTTCCCAGCTTCCAGTGGAATTGCCCCATTTCTGGAGATTACTAGATATTTCCTGCTAAAGGGGACTTAATGCTGTTTCTGAAGAAACAATATTTTGCCTTTGAATTAACTTAATATCAGATACAGTAATTCCTCATTTAACGCTATAGATATGTTTCAGAAAATGATTGTGTTAAGTGAAAATGTGTTATGCAGGGTCAATTTTCCCATTGAAAATAATGGAAAAAAGTTGGGGTTGTGTTTCAAGTGGTGGTGTCTGTTGGGACTGGGACAAGGTTTTTTAAAAAAAGATATCCCAGTGGACTTTGCTACCTGGATTTCCCTTGCTCTCGCTCTTTATGTACACCATCCTGTTCAGTGGTGGTAACTATTTCCAGCAAAGTGCCTTGATAGATGGCTGTTTTGGGTTGTTTTCCAGGTGGTGTTGCCTCCCTTCTTCTTTCTGCTTTTAAGACTGTTTGGTTGAAACTTGGACTCCATTGACATCAGTGGAGTCAGGCTATCACTCTTCATCTTTAAATAAGGAAAGAAATCTATTTCCCCAGGCCCTCAAACCCAACACATCTCTGCCACAACATGGTACAACGGGAGCTTTTTGTAGGATTCCCCCCCCCCTTTTTTTTTAAAGCATATTGACAACTTATTTGTGCAGATGCCTTTTCTGGCCCTTTTCAGTTTGCTCCAAGCCCTATTATTTTTAACATCCATATTGCAATAGCACCTAGAGATCTTAACCTGGTCAGGGCCCATTTCTGCTTCACACTGTATAAACACAGTGATTGTACCAGCATTAAGGCTCTTGGTGCAATTTCTTGAATGTCAGGGGGATAGTATTTGAATAAAAAAGAAAATGGTTGAAATGGGCTAAATGATATTATGAGAAATCTACAAGAAAGGTCTCCAACCTATTTCCTTTAAAATATATAAAATACCCTTTTTTTTTTATTTTTTATTTTTTATTTTTTTTGTGGTGAAGCCTCCATTATCACCATTGGGTGTCGGTGCATGGCTGTAACTAACCAGTGAGATACGACCTCCATTCTGCTAGTGCCTAGCTGACTGGACATTCTCTGCTTTTCCCTTTGTACTGACCTTAGCTCTCTTAGTTACAATTTGTTAAGCTTTTTATCATGTCTTTGGTATGTTCTCTTTAGTACAATGCAGTTTCTTGTTACTCAAGGCCATGAAGCTGAATTTTATTTAGACTTATGAATATGTATGTAACCTGTGGAGTGAATGTGAAGTATGAATGAGGAATGCTCAAGCAAAAGACAGTTTAGGATCCGTGACCTTCTAAGGCAAACAAAGACCCTGCAAGCAGATAAATTAACTGAGAAGCAGCCAGAAGATCTCTCTCTGACAAGATGTAACATCAAAGCAGAAACCTGGGATCAGCCCAGAGAAGTAAAGCCTCCTGAAGATCTGAAGAGATCTCCCAAGAAACATCATGGTCGAGTCTCTGGGAAGCTGATGCCTGGCCAGCACTCCAGCCACCAGCAAAATCAAAAGCAATCTACACCGCACTTGCAGAGTGCCTCCAAACTGCCAGCATGAATGGAGTATGAGTGTGAGTATCCTCTTTCTCTTAAGGATCTGTACTAGTAAACAACCCCAAAAGCCATAGTGCTCCAGCCCACCCTTTGTCCAAGTGTATTCCTTGGCAGGTCTGAGGAGGTACAACAATAACATTGCCAGGAAAGTCCTATCAGTCAGTCAGAACAAGGGTTTGGATAATCAAGTGTACTCAGCAGGCTCTGCTTAAACTTATGGCAAGCAGAAGGGTATAAACAAAGGGAAACCATGTTGGTTTTTGCTCTATAGGAATACTTGTTTTCTTCATGAAAGGGAAAGATAGCTTTTCATTTCAAGCAGTGGAAAGATACTGAATAAACAAACACCATTTAAAAGTCAAGCTCTTCTTAAATAGTTTGCATTGGAGTCTCTTAATAAAAATTGGATTTGACTTTTGCCATACTACCTGTTTTGCCCAGTGGGTGAAGGAATGTAGTCTCCTCGAAAGCAAATGTGTGGGATTTAGAACTCATGGGTGCTTTCTCTCCCTCTGCCACTTGATGTTTGATATTGGTCAAGCCACTTAACTACTTTGTGCCTCAGTGTACCCTATAGTAGTTCAGGACAGCGATACAGTAAATTCGGGATTCACTAGTGTAGCGTCCTGACAGGTCTCCTGCTGCATCAGTGATTATAAATGTTTGGCTGCATGTATTTTTGTATGCTTCCCTCAGTATATTATGCCAGCTCTGTGTTGGTAGATTTCACGAGAGCTCTCAAAGACCACAGACTCAGATAAGATATGAAGGTACCTAAGTTAGGTTTATTGTTGAACGAAGTACATTAATAGTTGTCAGTAGCCAGATGATCTCTGAGCCCCTACATGTTTGTACCCGAGACAATGGACACGGCTCAGTCAATAATACGAATTTCACTATTGCTCCCTAGGCCAGCCAAAGAATTAAGTCGAGGTACCCCAATATTTATAGACAGAAATGAACAATCTATGATATCCACTGTACTTATCCTCTTGTGCACTGATGACACGTTTGGTACCTCCCCTTGTACTTTCCTCCAAAGCATTCCTATTCACTACCCATTGTTATGCTTACACTGTTGATGTTTCAAACTATTTTATCATATACTCAGCTGGGTGTCCTTGTACTGATGAAATATATTTACGTAGTGTGGTTTTTTTTGTTTGTTTTTTGTTGTTTTTTTTCAGTGCTAGCAATTCTAGTGCAGAGACACTGGCTTGCAGGCAAACATCTGCTTTTGACATGGCCTGTCCGTTACTCATAGTATAACTCTAACTTTGGTTGAAGCACCAGGCCCATGCTTCAGGCTCTTTCTTTCTCCTACATTCCCCAACTTTTTTTTTTTTTTTATATGAGGAGAATGTTTACCCATTGTCCAGGAAGAACATAATGTATGGACTGAAGGTGACCCAGTGAGCTAAACACTGTTATATAGCTATTTTTCTTTGCTATTTACATATTTATGCCCCATCTGTCCCTTAGTTTGCACACTCCCTTGTTTGACTGATAGCAGACTTTGTCAGTTGTGTTAAGTCCTGTATGGTGGGCCTGGGGATATTAGGCTCAGGACTTTGGTTGAGGAATGTAGTTTCATGATTGAACCTTGGAGCACTGCCAGATAAGTAATATATGTGGATATGGTGCATATATTTATATGTAGTGTATGTGGACATATAGGTATTTGTACCTATGACACCACCTTATAGCCAAGCATAATTATATAAATAAATAAATTTATGATGTGGTAGCTTGTGGGGGTTTTTTCAATTTAGTGCAATGATAGGAACACACTCCTGTTAGGGTTTTTACAGTTACCATTATTAGTTATAGGCTGAGTATTTTGCTATCCTGGGATAAGCATTATTATAGGTGTCCCCCAAGACTACATGTGTAAGAAGTAAAACAGAAAATTGGAGTAGTGACATTATACAAATGAGGCCTTTATATATAATTGGTTACCTTACAGTACTGTCTATTTATGTTTATAGGTTACTTTTCCTGCTGGTTGTTGCTTTTTGGTATAAGCTTTGCTGGGCAGAAAACAGGAATAGCTAGTTTCTTTGTTCCATTGGAAACACTGCTTTGTGATACGCCAGTAGTTGACATAGAGCCAGGTTGGTTGGTTGGTTTGTTTTGGATGTTGTTTTCTAGATAATCTAGTGAATGGACAGTAACCATTTTATTAAATGTTTTTTGTGTCAGGATTTAGTATTGGTGCCCAGATACTGAACAGGATTGTTTTGAATAATATGTGCTTTAGTTAGGAAAAGTGGGTTGTACTCACGAAAGCTCATACCACCATCTACATGTTTTGTTAGTCTAGTAGCATCTTAAAGACTATTTGTTGTTTGTTTGACCTTAAATTGTGAGTTATGCTAACAGTGAATTTGTTTGTTTAATGTATAGATACTGTGCAACTTTTGGTTTACCTTTTTGTTGTTGTTTAGCAATGTTATGCATATTATAAATTATGTACATCAGTAATACAATACAGCAATAATACAGTGATACAGAAGTACTACTGTTCACTTTACACAGTAGCCAACTTTAAGTTAACAGTGATTTCTGAGTGCCAATTTAAATGTCCCTGTATAGTAGACTTAGGCTCTTATTTATGAAACATTTCCTTTTTCTCCATACTTGAACCCATTATCTTCTGGTGTATACCCATTATCTTCTGGTGTCTTTATGGTGAGATCTTCTGGTATCTGTAGGATGCAACCTTAAATGGCTTAAATTAATTGACAGAATAAACATTTTGTTTGTTTGCTTGTTTTACATTTAAGCCTGTTGAAATATTTAATTAGCTTTATGCATAAATAGTTGTGTTTTTTAACAATTTAACTACAGCAATTTTATAACTCTATTTAAAAAATGCCAACAAATTTATAAGAAATGATATTTTGTCAATATCACACTTACCTACTGAGGTTTCCCCTAACATTTTTTTTGAATAAAAAACTCTGTAATTAATAATAGAGATTTTTTTGGTTTGCAATTGCTTTATTTGTTGAGGAAGAAATATATGGACATATATTAATGAAACCTTTTTGAACTTTGAAAAAATGGTATTAACAATATTATGATTATGCCCCAACCATGATATAAAATAGTGTGGTACCACTTAGTTTTTTTTTGAAAGGGGGGGTATAAAATTGACTTTTGTTATAACAAAATGAAATTTAGAAAATAGTTACGTGACACACAGCATACAATACTGGCAACATACATGACATATAGGACAAACTTACAAGTCTAGCAATAAGACAAATACCACAAAACAAACACACACATAAAATACAATCTTGTTGCGACAGTTGATTCATGGTTATTTTTTAGCTGGAACCAGCTTTTTCTGAAAGATAAAAAGAATATAATTCTACCCTTTGAGAGTGGCAGATTATTGCTTAAAATACTCCTTTATTTAACAAACATTCTTACTGATTCCCCTGTTTTGCCTGCAAATACCCTGTAAAATGAATTGTAATACTTCACAAGTGTTCTAGAAAGCTTAATTTAATCAAGGAGTTTTAAAAATTAGAGCACCACATACAACAGTCAATACAGATTGTAGTGTTTTGATATTTATCGTTAGTTCTGTGCCAGCTCAGACTGTCCTCTCTAATAATCCAACAACCTATTTCTAGTTTAAAAGGTGTAAACATTTTGTTTTTATTTCTTCTTCACATAAAGTACTTAATATTTGTTGCATTTATTATTCTTAAGGAATACAGATGCATTGAGTCTTAAGTGGGATGTTTGCTTTTGGGGGTTTATAGAGTCATGTTGTATAAAATAGTTCAAAGAACAAAATTGCAGGTTTTACAGCAACTGTGTTGCATGCAGCTCCTTAAGACAAAGTAGCGGTCTGTGTATGCAGTACTGTAATGTCCAAGCTTGAGTATATGTTGTTTAAGGGATCAGTTGTCAGAAAGCTGTATAAACTATTGATTATTTTTTGGTGATCTAAAGAGGGAACACTTCCTCTCTCCCTCCCTCCGTGACTTCAGCTAAATGTGAAATTAATACCACTCTGTGCATTAATAAAAACAACACAGTTCTGCGTCAGTTAAGTATATGCACGAGACAAAACAGTTTGTCTTTTGACTTGTTTGTATTCCTGCCCAAGGAGTATTCATTATTTTGTCCCAAGGCAGTTCTGTATGTTATTTCAAATCTTTTTTTTTTTTTTTTTTTTTGAGAAGATCAATTTTATATTGCAAAATAACAGAAAAAAAATCTGTTCACTTTTAAATTTGACGATAACATCATGTTAGTCACATAGAATCAGTAATGATCAATGGACAGAGAATCATAAGATACACTTGTGATAAGAAGCAAAATGTAATCTAAAGTCATCTTTTTTTTTTTTTTTTTTTAATTTAGAAGGAAATCTGAATGTATCTCAGCAAACTGACTTTTCTATACTGCAATATCTCAGCTGCCAGTGTAATTTCTTGGACTCATTTGTAAACTTGTTTAATCTCCCACAGACTGTCTAGTTGATATGGCTTCAACTTCTGACAAAAGCCAGTAGACCAACTGTTGGTCGTTTTTGAATGATATCATCGAGGAATTAACCTTTTGGCTAATTATCATTGCCTTGATTTTGGCCATAAATCTTGATATAACAGACTCCCATTCTTGCTTTGCTAAACATGATTAAAAGGTAAATTTTCTAACTGAGCTTCCTTTGGAAAGGTGAATTGAGTGAGTGGCTTTTTGTAATAGGCTGGCTGTTTTATTTCAGTACTCTAAGTGCCCAGACTCTGATACGGTTGTGTACACATGAAATTTAATTCTCAGACGGGGATATTTTGTACTGCATCTTTACCCCTTTAAAACTTGTGATTTCACCACTGAAGAACTTTTAATAAAAAATATTGAAATCTTCACATCCTTTCAAGTTTTTTACAAAAAAAAAGTGTAGTACATTTGAAATTACAAATCACTGCACAAAGTTGTCTGAGTTAATACAGTTTTTGTATTTTCTTATAATCAAGGCATTTTAATGGAT